ATGTCATGATATGTAAAATTAAAAATTGTTATTTTACGGTGATAATCTTGTTTTCTTGTGCCCAATAATGCATAATTTCATTTGATAAACACGCTTAGATTGAATGGTAATTTATAATCAGTCACAAGAATGTCGAATCTGAATCACTTGAAAAAAACACGGGGGTGCTTAACTTTTTTCCAGGTGTATATATATATATATGTTTAGGTCATTCAAAAGCCATCAATTGTGTATTTTGTTTCATGTGTTTCTTTTTCCCAAATCTCCTACCTTTTAGGTTGTTTGTTGGTGAAATTATACAGGTGTTTTGTTTGTTAAGTTAATGATGGCTAAATGGCAAAAAAAGAACTTAAGAAAAATGTTATTATAACTTGGTTTTTAAGAATTGTCTAAAATGTTATCATGCAGTGATCATGCTTATTTTATTTTTTCTCTACTTGCATGAATCAGTAAAAGTAACATTTAATAATAAAGTGCATGTTAGGTCAGTTTTAGTAGTTGAGATACTGAGGAATGAAAGTAATTAAACTGTCCAAACATTAGGGCATTTTCACAGATTTCTGCTACCATTATCTTTATGTAGTCTAATGAACCAAAAAGAAAGAATAAAAACACTGAAAGAAGTTGTTAAAAACAATCCATGAGATTAGTAAATAAACTCTGCTTTGTGAAGATGGTAAAAACTTATCTTTCAGTAGAAATCTTGTTTTATTGATAATACATATTTTTGTAGTTTGTATCCTGGTTATATATTAACAATAAGAAAATAAGAGTAAAAGTTTTAAATAATTAATAAATTCATCCATAGATTCCTCCTTTTTAACTATCCCCCCTGGGGGGTATTCTGACTCTTGTAAAATTAAGTAGAAAAACTGGGGTAGATTGTCACCCTAACAGTTGACAAGTAGAACATTGTAGGACACATTTGGATCATGTTGTTTATTCCATCTTCCTGACATATTACAGTTGACCTAATGTTAGATTAGTCAGCCAAATTAAGTGAATTTAACTTAAGGTAGTCAAATATCGGTAAAATAATTAGCTGTTCCATGTGATTAGATCTAACTAAATGTTGACATTTTTACAAATTTAGTAGATGGTTGCATTTCAATGGTGGTAGAAAGCATGGTTTTGAGATGGAAATTGAAAAAAAATGTCATAGCAAAAGCTATGAAAAGAAATAAGGCTAGAGTTAATTGACAAGAGCAAAAAATAGTTCTCAATGTGACATGTTAAAAAAACTGTGGAACTTCAAATAGTTATTGAAAACTGGAAATGTAGTAAATCTTTTTTCATTTTCAGCCATTAATTTTCTTCTGATCTGTTGAAAATGCAGGAGCTTTAGAAGGCTTGCCTGAGTGGGCTCCATCCTTTTGTGTCCCCCCCTTGCCTATTCTTGTTGCTTTTATTGAAGTCTATATTTTTCAGTAGAATTGTAAAAACAGTTGAGCTAAAGAAACTAGCACACTACCTTAAAAATGTGTTTGTTAATTTTTTGTCATTTTCTTAAGATATCATTTCAATAATTTTATAGCTGGATCCTCCAAATTCACGAATATTGTATCTCAAATGTGCAAGTGTTTCATTCCTATTTGAACAAGCTTGGACATTGTCATCAACACAGCAAGGCCGTTATATGCGTATCCTTTTGAGCTGTCATTTAATTTTTGTTTAAAATAGTTGTTATGTAATTTGTATTTTTTTATCATAAATTTCAGCTATCCTTTTTACCATTATCTACATGATATTTGTAAGTATTTTGATTGTTTTGTATTTTTAATATCTAGAAAGAAGCTGTAGTAAGGAAAAAAATTGAAAATTTATATTAGAAGCATTGATGAGAGTGTTTCATATTTCTTTATTCTAAATCTCATAAATTACTATTTATTTATTGGGACACCAGAATATTCTTACAGAATTTATGTTAAATGATAACTTCTGAACTGACATAATCAGATATTCTTATGGACATAATGGAGAAAGTAGCTGATGGTGTAATCCAGTAAGTTTTAAATAATGGCTTCTTTGTTATTAATATCTGAAAATTAAAATTGTCTAAAAGTTGACTCATAATTATAATTGTAACATTATTAAAAAGTCTGATGTAATATTGGGGAAGATCTCTTTAATATAATTAATAAGATTTTTAAGTAATTAGTTGTTTTTAGTATCACTACTTAAAAAGTTGACTCACTATTACAGTTGTAACATTATTAAAAAGTCTGATGTAAGATTGAGGGACATCTCTTTAATATAATTAATAAGATTTTTAAGTAATTAGTTGTTTTTAGTATTACTACATTATTTTAAAAGTTTTAAGTACTAAGCATATAATTTTTGTTTCTTATATTTTACTTTATTGCTATTTCTCCAATATAAATAAAAAATCTTTAGAACAATCTCCAGTAACTAAACTTTCAAAATGTTATTTATTTTTCAACCCCAACATTGACCATATTGTGTAATGAAGATATTTATATAGAACTTTTTCCACTAATTAGCATTCAGCATCTTTTAATTGATTCCTTTTAACCGTAACACCCATTTTATCATATCATTGTTTTTTTTTTTATAAGCACATCCAAGAACAAGTATTTTGAGTTTCCATTTTAAAGTCTAGAGATGTATCACATTGGTCATTGAAAGATTATTTTAGAAAAAATGTAATTGTGATTTCTCCTTTGAATATTAATTACTATTTCAGGCCTAACATCCACCATACCGTCCCATTTGAAGCAGTCCCTGAAGCCCTGAAAAACTTGTCAGAAGAGCGAGTGGGTAAAGTAGTTATGAAGTTGGATTGATATCCCTAAACAGTGCTTCACTTTTAAAAAAAAGGGGGAAACTTTCCAATATGTCCAATTTAAGCATAATGTTCTAGATCATTTTTCATTGTTTAGTATGTTCATTGAATGTGACTCCATCAAATATTTGTTTTTATTGTTAATAACTAGTAGTGACACTATATCAAAATTTAGCTGAGATAAAATATGTCTACTTCTAAAGGCTCTAATAAATTAAAGTTTTTAATTTCTTTGTTGTTAAACACAAATAATTAAAGGAAAGAATATGTGCATGAAATTAATCTATATTGTTAGTTAGCTGTACCTTACTAGGAGTGTATTGTATATTCTGCAGTTGATCCTGTTGTTAGATATTAACCATTTAAAAATGTATCAGAATTAAGACAAAAGTACATTTGTTAACAGTAAAACAGTCAAGAAGTGTATTGTTTAATACCATGTTGTAATGTTAGGTATTAGCATGTCAAAAAGGTTATAGATCAAGAACAAGTACAGTAAAGAATTAAGCTTTTATTACAAAGCACTGTCAAGGAAGGTGTGGTACATATTATATTCTATTCTATTGTCAGTATCAGTGTTGAGATTTGAAAATAGTATTAATTTGTGAACTTAGATAGTCTCTTACTAAAATACCATTAATTCATAAGTTGAAGTAGTTTATAGGAAAGCAAGAGACTGTATCTAACTTTATTGTTAAACCTCTGTTGATAGGTAGTAAATACGAATGTTTTTGTGTGTATGTGTTTTATGAATGCTAAATGATAAGTAGTAGTTTAAAATTATTTATATCTGTATAAAATACAAGCTGAAAGAAACATTTTAATTTTGAATTTTAAGAATTTGAATAAATGTACTTTCCTGTAAATTAGAGAAAATGCATGAGACATCAGAGGGAAGCCTAAGCAATTTTCCATGAAATTCAAATGATTTACAATGCCACTCTCCTTTGTTTTGTATTTTTAATTAATCTACAGTCGTAATGTTCTAGTGCATTTTTACATAACTGGCATATTTGTTCTTTTATCAAAATTGAGATAAACTGGATGAATGTCTACTTGTGTCAAGTTATTATTCTGTTGCAAAATTATTTCTCCTTTTTTTTATGAAGCTCAAAGAAAATAGAAACTGCTCATCTGTTCTTCACTTGGTAATGCTAATTTAAGTATAAAGTTTTAAATTTTTTCACTCAGGTATATAAGAATTATTGTAGATTTAACAAAACTTCCAGTATATTGAATAGTACTATTTCTAATTTACAGTTAACTTTTAAAGGACTTTTCTCACTTGTGAGATGAGTTAAATGAAAAATCCTCTATAAAACTTGTTGAATAAATAGCCAACATAAAGGAACTAAACTTTATAAAAAGTCAGATTGATAACTTTCTGTAAACTATGAATTTTTGTTGCTTAACTTTTATTTCTAAGAAACTATTACAATAATAATTTTTATAATGGGAGTTAAATTATCTAGTTAATTTGAAAAATTGAAAATTGGCTCCCTACAAAATCTAGATATGTTTCCAGATGTGTGTCTACCATTTAAAGAATAGTGACACAGAAAGCTCATAAAAGATAATGACTAAAATAATTCATCTTATGTAAAAATTAGCATTTCAAGTTACCACTGAAAATATTGACAACTTCCTATCACATTTGTGTTAGTCATTTAAAAATTATTGTGAAGTTTAGAGCTTCATATAGCTGCCAGTAGGGGTCATACATTACTATCAGTAAGTTTGATGAAATCAGTAGTTTACTGCTTTGTCTGTTCATCAATTTCTGTAAAGAAAAACTCATTTCACATATAATGTTGCCATTCAATAGTTTTTAAATATGAGGAAAATTTGTGTTTTTACAAAATATAAATTAGCTTTTGTTACTGATATTTCATTTGTTGGTCTTATGTAAATACTCAGTGATAATTATAATTGAAAAATAAAAGGCAAGTTTGAAATTGGCTTCATTATTGTGGGCATATTTCATTGTGTTCACTTTTACTCTCTGTGTCATATATTATGTGTGTTATATTAGTACTGGTTTGTAAGTTTGATATTCACACTTACCAAATGAAAGGTTTTACTAGTAAGTGAAGAGAAGAGTCTACTGTACTTAAACCTAAAGTAAATAAATTCTTGAAGTATGGGCAAGGTTATCATGACAGAAGTTCCTCAGCAAGTTTGATTTATAAATTAATAAACTATTATTTTCATGTCTGTGATACTCACAATGACTTTATTGAAGTGGAACACTTACAAATCTTTCCCTATATATTTATTTTTTTATTAATTTAAACCAGGGATCATAAAGTTTTTCAAGAAATGGCTTGTAGTGTTCTTGATGTTTACTAGAAACTTATGTTCTATGTAAATTTAGTGTGATTAGATTAAATTAATGGTACTAAATGAAACAACACTGACTATTCTTCAGATGTTAGTCTTTCAGTTATTTTATCTGAAACACTGTTTAGTTTAATCACTGATTGTAAGAAATCTATAAAGGTATTGTTGATTTTGTATCCAGTGATCTGTTATGCTGACATTTAACAGAAATCAAATAATTTCTGAGAGATGTTAGAGTATCATTGTTTAATTTTAATAGCTGTAATCAATTAATTGGTTAATATAAGCTTAATTATAATAAACACTTATTTTAAAACCATTTTGTAACCAAGGTTATAGGGTCCAGAAGAGGAATCATTCCATTTATTGTGTCAAGAGCTTTTGAAATTTTTCAAAACTTTCTAGATACTTCCTTTAATGAGGCCATTATTTTATATACACCAATTGTTTTTAAAATTACTATATAATTTTTAAGGTACTCAAATGTCTGGTGGAACATTTTTACCAGAAATACTTTGAGAGCAATATATATATATATAGTACAAGAAGGATTCAGAAAGACATTTTTATGCAAGTTTGGTAACAGTTTTCAACAGTAAACTATAATAGTTAGTAGATAGATCTTGAAAATGTACTTAGCTTGAAATTTTATTAATATTAACTAAAGAGTTGTATTTTAGAAGTTTTAATAGTGTACCTGAAGTATTACCTGAATTTTGCCACCCCAAGATAGATGTTTTCAAAAATAAATTCCATAGAGTTTAAAAACAATAACTATATATATATATATATATATATA